AGGGAGTAACCCCTTTCCACCACGCGAAGGACCCAACCATCTGATGTTATGTGAGACCACGCACGGAGGAAATGGGAGAGACAATCCTGGAAAGGCGGGGAAGGATCCTGAATGGAGACTGGTGCTCCATCCTCGGGCGCACCTTCAAAAGTTCTGCTTAGGCCCAGGTGATGGCTTGGGAGGGCCCTGGCCTTGGCTGGCTTGGTGGCCAGTCTGTCTTCTTCTACCACCTCGGCCGCGTCTTCTAAAGAAGTCCTGTCTTGGCCGAGGGGGGAGGGTAGGCTGCAGTCTGAAGGGCCTTCTCTGTGTTACTGGGATATGCATCCCAGAGACGGCATAATAGTTCTCGAGTCCTTCAGACCCTGCAGCCTTGAGTCTGTTTTGTCTGAGAATAGGCCCTGGCCATCAAAAGGTAGGTCCTGGAGGGTCTGCTGCAACTCTGGTGGTAAGCCAGAGACCTGCAGCCACAAGATGCGGCGGATGGCTTTGCCTGAGGTCAGGGTCCTAGCCGCCGAGTCTGCTGCATCAAGAGAGGCTTGCAGGGAGGTTCTGGCCACCTTCTTACCCTCCTCCACTAGAGCCCCAAATTCCTCTCTGGACTCCTGTGGAACCAACTCTTTGAATTTCTCCATAGAGTGCCACAAATTGTAAGCGTATCTGCTCAGGAGTGCATGCTGGTTGGCCACCCTGAGCTGCAAGCCTCCAGCCGAGTTCACCTTGCGCTCAAACAACTCTAGGCGTCTAGCATCCTTTGATTTGGGCACCGGGGCCTGCTGACCGTGCCATTGCTTCTTGTTGACAGAAGCCACGACAAGGGAACAAGGTTGGGGGTGCGTGTAGAGGGGACAAAGTACTTCCTTTCCACTCCCTTGGCCGTAGGTGAAATAGAGGCTGGCAATTGCCAGATTGTCTTGGCATTGGCCTTTTTGTTCATATGACTAGGAGGGTCACCCTGGACGGTGCCTCCATGGACAGAATGTCGACCACCGGGTCCTCTACCTCCACCACCTCCTCTACCTGGAGGTTCATATTGCGTGCCACCCTGCAGAGCAGCTCCTGGTGGGCGCGGAGGTCCATAGGAGGAGGGCTCGAAACCGTAGTCCCTGCCACTGCCTCATCTGGCGAGGACGGGGAAGATACCCCCGGGACTAAGGGATCCTGTGTGGGGTCCTCATGTGGAAGAACTTGTTGCCCAAGGTCCACCAAGCGAGGGGTGTGGGCCTGTGTTGGTGCTGGAGCAGGCCCCTCAGAACCCCCTGGGGGGGGCGAGACACAGTGACCTCTGGTACTCGGGGCTCCAAAGGGGCAGAACGGGAAGCCCCCGAAGGAACCCCTTGGTCCTGATGGTATGCCCAGGGGGCCCAAAAAGACCACTGTGGAGTTCCTTGGCCCGGATCCTGGCCTTCATCCAGCCACTGTCCTGCACCATCCTCACCCTGGTCCTGGGCATGGTGGCCACCTTGTGAGCGTGACGATGTGGAGGCGGAGCGAGACGGCAAAGGCGGTGACACACGTGTCGGCGCAGAGTCCCCTGCTGCTGTACGGTGCCGTGGTGCCGGGGACCGGTGGCGAGATGTAGAACAGTACCGAGATGTTGATCGGTGCCTGCGGTCGTATCGGTACCAGGAGCCTGATCTGGATCTCGACAGTGACCTTCGATGAGACCAGCACCGGGATCAGCTCCAGGTCGAGCGCTGCTCTGACCAGTACCGGGAGCGGTGCTCACAGTCCAGTCGGTACCAGCTGTACCCGTGATTCGGATCTTCGCGAGCTGGAGCAGCGTTGCAAGTACGACCAGCGCCGAAAATGGGATCGGTGCCAGGACTGCGAGCGATGCAGTGAAAGGTGCTGGGACCAAGATCGGGACTGGGACCAGTGCTGCCCTGCTTCACTCGGCGACAGCGGTCATATCAGGGACGGTTTTCCCTTCGACCACAACACCCGCACCGGAGGTGCCATTGGCTGCAGGGGAGTCGGCTCTGTGAGCGTGATCGAATCCCGCGCTGTAGAGAAGGTCTCCAGCATGGAGTGAAGCCTTAGCTCGATGGCTGTGTGCACCGGGGAGCTAACATGCACCAGACTCGACGGCCCTTGCAGCACCAGAGTCGACGGTGCAGGAGCTGTTACTTGTCCTGTGCGCTCCAGCAATGGACGCAGCTCCGGCTGCAGGAAGTGTCAGTGGCTGTCGAACCAACAAAGAAGAAGCAGTCGGCACCTGCTTGGGCTGCTTATTCTTCTGGCCCGGAGACAGGGACCGGTGACGTGGTGGTGGAGGTGCCGGGGGGGGCCTGACGCCACAAGTCGTTAGCAGAGTCTGAATGCGGTGCCGGACCAGTTGGTGCCATAGGGGCACACCAAACTGAAGACGACGCCGAGTCCCAGTGCATGGAGGAAGGGACCGGGCTAAGTGCCACCTCCATAAGGAGCTGCTTGAGTCTAAAGTCCCACTCCTTTTTGGTCCTCGGCTTGAAGGCTTTGCAAATGCGGCACTTGTCCGCTTGGTGGGATTCCCCCAGACACCTTAGGCAAGAGTCGTGGGGGTCTCCCATTGGCATCGGCTTCAGGCAAGCCGAGCAGGGTTTGAAGCCTGGAGACCCCAGCAGGGGCCCAGGTACCGGGACGAGGGAGAGGGGAGAAGACCCTGCTCCACCTTACTAAGTACACTAATCTAACTACACTAACTATTAACAAACTACTAACAACTATAAACAACTATTAACAATGAATTACAACTATTAACAGGTAATTAGAGAGAAACCTAGGGAGAGTGGAGATCAGCTACGCTGCGCTCCACAGTTCCAACGACCATCACGGGCGGTAAGAAGGAACTGAGGGGGCGATGGGTCAGCTTGGGCATATATCCAGCGCCATGAAGGCGCCACTCCAGGGGGGCGCCTCACCCAACCCACCGAGTGTTGCTGGGGTAAAAATCTTCCGATGATCATGCACGCAGCGCGCACACACCTAATTGGAATCTATATGGATTCCAGCACTCGAAGAAAAACCTATCCTTGCAACAAAACCCGTTGCCAACCGTGTCCACATATCTATTCAGGGGACACCATCACAGGGCATAATCACATCAGCCACACCATCAGAGGCTCGTTCACCTGCACATCTACCAATGTGATATATGCCATCATGTGCCAGCAATGCCCCTCTGCCATGTACATTGGCCAAACCAGACAGTCTCCATGTAAAAGAATAAATGGACACAAATCAGACATCAAGAATTATAACATTCAAAAACCAGTCGGAGAACACCTCAATCTCTCTGCTCACTCGATTACAGACCTAAAAGTCGCAATATTACAACAAAAAAAAACTTCAAAAACAGTCTCCAACGAGAGACTGCTGAATTGGAATTAATTTGCAAACTGGACACCATTAAATTTGGCTTGAATAAAGACTGGGAGCGGATGTGTCATTACACAAAGTAAAACTATTTCCCCATGTTTATTTTTCCCCGCTACTGTTCCTCACACGTTCTCGTCAACTGCTGGAAATGGCCCATCTTGATTATCACTACAAAAGGTTGTTTTTTTTCTCTCCTGCTGGTAATAGCTCATCTTAATTGATCACTCTCGTTATAGTGTGCACAGCAACTCCCATTGTTTCATGTTCTCTGTGTGTATAACATCGTCCTACTGTATTTTCCACTGCATGCATCCCATGAAGTGGGCTGTAGCCCACGAAAGCTTATGCTCAAATAAATTTGTTAGTGTCTAAGGTGCCACAAGTACTCCTGTTCTTTTTGCGGATACACACTAACACGGCTGCTACTCTGAAACGTCACATTCCAAGTAAGGCCCTAAGTTTCTTGACCAATGCTAACTTAGACACATTGACAGGCCTCTTTTCCTAGCTAGAAGATCTCTATTCTTTGAAGAGTTATTTATAACCTGGGGGGAAACCAGATTATCATCTCCATCATGATTATTGAGGAGGCAATTAATTTGACTTCTGAACAACTTTTCTAAACATTTCATATCTACTTTTCTCATCTTCTAAAAAGATAAATGAGTAAGATGTGGCTGAGGTATTTATACAGCATTTATATTTGTTTATCCACATGCTGACAGAAATAGATAGACTATTGATCCAGATTAGTTCAGTAAATGCACATTTATTTAGTGCCATAATTATGTTGTATTTATACTGTTTTCTATAAAGCATCTTCAGGTATGCCTTTCTTTCTTTATACAGTCCATGGATGGAATGCAATACAAGAACAATATGCATAAAAGTTACAAGCACAGAGTTACAAAAGTTGAAATACAAGAACAGTATGTGTAAAAGAGTTACAAGCACCGCAAGGTTTTTTGAATATATTTATATCATAAAGCAGTATCCTTAACAAAGGATGCTATTAACTATTCCCCCAAAATTTAAAGCATTCAATTCAATTGTGGCCTTTTTCATTTAACTAACTTGGAATGATTAGGGCTGTCAAAACAGACATGGGCATAATATTGGCTAACTAGTTTTTATTGCAGGGCCAACACACAAAGCACCTGCAACAGTACACTTTTTGTTTCCAAGTTGTATCTTTATAAATACATAAATAGATAAGAGTCTAATTTCTACATCATATCACTTTTAAGGCATGTTGGATCTCAAGCCTGAGCTACCGTAAGTGCCCAAGGAAATACCTTAATTACCACAACAGTTAATATTTGTATTTATATTTACATGACTGTATGCATTCATAAAATGTAATGTATTTTGGGTGTTGATGTTTGTTTTTTAATAAATGAACATCCGGCTGAAAAAGAAACACTACATATTTTTCTATGACGAAATATGCTTTAAAAAATTTCCTTTAGCTTGAAGTTTTTAAGAAAATCACTGCCTGGCAAAGATGGTACTTCTGAGATCTAATTCAGATATACCAAATTTAACAACACATGGAAATAAAAACATTGTGTATTATGTGCAACATGTAGAGACTGAACAATCTGATATAAGATTTTTCCAAAAATTTCACAACTGTAACCTACATTAAGGGCAATCAGGATAACATCACTTATATTGACTTTGTCAGAAGAATTTGTGCAAGCTTCAATTCCTTCATCTGAAAGATACCTGTTAAAACAAAATGAAGTTATTTTAGGAAGGTATTTGAAACACATTTTAGACTAAGCTATTAGTTAATCCTCCTTTTAGATTCCTTAAGTAACCACAATGGCAGGACTTCAGGCTTATTCAGTAGGAATATATGTAATACTCTGTATTTTCTGTATTCTTACAATGCAGTTTAGAAAACAACTGACAGAGATGAAAGGATTCCTTCAGTTGAGGAGTTCCTTCACACTGCCTCTATGTGGGCGGTTCCCTTATTGATCATTTCTGCCATTCCTACTTCCTTTTTCTCCTTCTCTTCAAGATTTATATATAAAACTACTAATTATCTTTATGTGAACTCCTAGATGCATACACTGATTTCCCAATTTATCGTATAAATTACTGCACCATGGCCCTCATCTACCTATCCACTGTCTTATCTCCTTCCCTCATCATAACTTAGGCATTCAGACCCAGGCAGAAAAATAAGCTGATCCTTGCACCTGTAGCATCCCACTGAAATCTACAGCAACACTATCTGTATAGATCCAATTGAATGATCGAGACACTAGTTAATAAGTTCTTACAGGCATGCAAAGATATATTTATGAAAGATTGTGATTTGGAGACACTCCCTCATTGGGACAGTGTTGTGGGTGTGGACATATGCCCTGGAAGCAGTTGTTGGAAACACCACATGGCTGTGTGTGGAGCAGCTCACTACAGAAGCTCTCCAGTTTGTTGTATTAAAGTTTTATTGCTTTGTCATTCACTGGTTCGTTATTTAATGAACCCCAAGATTGTTACAAGGCAGAGACTATTTTTTCTGTAAATGTTAAACAAAGATGACACGATACACACAAACAAGTGACAGCCTACGCCCAGGTTTAGTAGAACACAGTGGTCAGCTAAGTTCAGTTACTGGAGAAGATAATGTGCTTTTCCCAAAGATGTTAACTGACAACTATTCAAGTTGGACAAAATTTTTCTAATGAAAAATATGACAACTTTTTAGCTTTCCTAAAAGAGATTTTATAAAAAAAATGTTTTATTCGAATTAACAGAAATTTTAAATTAAAAATGGCAGCTGTTCTGAAATATTCTCATTTTTGTGCTACACACACACACAATTAATTTTGTATTGCCAATTTTGATTGATCAGTTTTATCACGATTCAGTTTTGGAATTTCCAATTTCAACAAAAAATTGTACAAAAACTCCTTAGAAAGTTGCACCCAAAAAAAAAAAAAAAAAAACCTTATGACAACAGAATGAAAAATACTTTCATATCTGCAAAAAACTTCTACGAAGTTCACCCCCTGGCTGTTTTTTGATCAGCTTTCATTACTAAAAGAAGAATTAGAACAAACTCAAGATTTGTGAAAACTATCTTCTTAATGAGGCAAAATGAAAGAAAATAGGAGAGGGAAGCTAACAGAAACATACAGCAGTCAACAGGGTAAAAATATTATGTGTCTAATTTTTGGTAGATCATCTTAGACTACGAATGCAGTTATCCAAAAGAAAAATCTTTTTGCAACATTAAGGATCATTGTCATGTTTCCTCAAACGTCAGGACAGTGAATACTAAATTCAGTTTTAACTCTACCAGTTATAATTATGTCAGTCGTTTTATACCATATAATTTACACACACACACACAAATTTTGGGAACCAATGCAGAAGTATATAGTCTACCAGTTGCTACCAGATGAAAACAGAAAAAGTTGCTTGCTTAGAAGCAGTGCTTTCTAGATAGTGGCTCAACTGTTTCCTAGTAAGAGAAACCCTCTCTCTATTGAATGACTAAAAAAATTCCGCACTAGAACCTGAAATTTTCCTAAGCAGCATACATTATTCCCCTGCATCAAGTAGTACACTGCTGATAACTGTTACTGAAAAGAGATTCTTTGCTCTACCACTGAATGTCTCACCCTAAAATGAGGATTACAAAGTGGATCATAAGACTTGAGGTACTGATCACTTTACCCAGGTGTCAACTGAACTCACTCACTAAACCAGAATATTTCCCCTCCCCTCCCCCAGAAAGACACCGGGTATGTCTACACTACGGAATAAGGTCGAATTTATAGAAGTCGTTTTTTTAGAAATCGGTTTTATATATTCGAGTGTGTGTGTCCCCACAGAAAATGTTCTAAGTGCATTAACTCGGCGGAGTGCTTCCACAGTACCGAGGCTAGAGTCGACTTCCGAAGCGTTGCACTGTGGATAGCTATCCCACAGTTCCCGCAGTCTCCGCTGCCCATTGGAATTCTGGGTTGAGATCCCAATGCCTGATGGGGCTAAAACATTGTCGCGGGTGGTTCTGGGTACATATCGTCAGGCCCCCCTTCCCTCCCTCCCACCGTGAAAGCAAGGGCAGACAATCGTTTCGCGCCTTTTTTACTGAGTTACCTGTGCAGACGCCATACCACGACAAGCATGGAGCCCGCTCAGGTAACCGTCACCCTATGTCTCCTGGGTGCTAGCAGACGCGGTACGGCATTGCTACACAATAGCAGCAACTCATTGCCTTCTGGCAGCAGACGGTGCAATACAACTGGTAGCCGTCCTTGTCGTGTCCGAGGTGCTCCTGGCCAGGTCGGCTGGGAGCGCCTGGGCAGACATGGGCGCAGGGACTAAATTTGGAGTGACTTGACCAGGTCATTCTCTTTAGTCCTGCAGTCAGTCCTATTGAACCGTCTTATGGTGAGCAGGCAGGTGATACGGATTGCTAGCAGTCGTACTGTACCATCTTCTGCCGGGCAGGCAAGAGATGAGGATGGCTAGCATTAGTACTGTACCATCTTCTGCCGAGCAGCCATGAGATGTGGATGGCATGCAGTCCTTCTGCACCGTCTGCTGCCAGCCAAAGATGTAAAAGATAGATGGAGTGGATCAAAACAAGAAATAGACCAGATTTGTTTTGTACTCATTTGCTTCCCCCCCTCCCCTGTCTAGGGGACTCATTTCTCTAGGTCACACTGCAGTCACTCACAGAGAAGGTGCAGCGAGGTAAATCTAGCCATGCATCAATCAGAGGCCAGGCTAATCTCCTTGTTCCAATAAGAATAATAACTTAGGTGCACCATTTCTTATTGGAACCCTCCGTGAAGTCCTGCCTGAAATACTCCTTGATGTAAAGACACCCCCTTTGTTGATTTTAGCTCCCTGAAGCCAACCCTGTAAGCCGTGTCGTCAGTCGCCCCTCCCTCCGTCAGAGCAACGGCAGACAATCGTTCCGCGCCTTTTTTCTGTGCGGACGCCATACCAAGGCAAGCATGGAGGCCGCTCAGCTCACTTTGGCAATTAGGAGCACATTAAACACCACACGCATTATCCAGCAGTATATGAAGCACCAGAACCTGGCAAAGCGATACCGGGCGAGGAAGTGACGTCAGCGCGGTCACGTGAGTGATCAGGACATGGACACAGATTTCTCTGAAAGCATGGGCCCTGCCAATGCATGCATCATGGTGCTAATGGGGCAGGCTCATGCTGTGGAACGCCGATTCTGGGCTCGGAAAACAAGCACAGACTGGTGGGACCGCATAGTGTTGCGGGTCTGGGACAATTCCCAGTGGCTGCGAAACTTTCACATGCGTAAGGGCACTTTCATGGAACTTTGTGACTTGCTTTCCCCTGCCCTGAGGCGCATGAATACCAAGATGAAAGCAGCCCTCACAGTTGAGAAGCGAGTGGCGATAGCCCTGTGGAAGCTTGCAACGCCAGACAGCTACCGGTCAGTTGGGAATCAATTTGGAGTGGGCAAATCTACTGTGGGGGCTGCTGTGATGCAAGTAGCCCGCGCAATCAAAGATCTGCTGATATCAAGGGTAGTGACCCTGGGAAATGTGCAGGTCATAGTGGATGGCTTTGCTGCAATGGGATTCCCTAACTGTGGTGGGGCCATAGACGGAACCCATATCCCTATCTTGGCACCGGAGCACCAAGCCGCCGAGTACATAAACCGCAAGGGGTACTTTTCGATAGTGCTGCAAGCTCTGGTGGATCACAAGGGACGTTTCACCAACATCAATGTGGGATGGCCGGGAAAGGTAAATGACGCTTGCATCTTCAGGAACTCAGGTCTGTTTCAAAAGCTGCAGGAAGGGACTTTATTCCCAGACCAGAAAATAACTGTTGGGGATGTTGAAATGCCTATATGTATCCTTGGGGACCCAGCCTACCCCTTAACGCCATGGCTCATGAAGCCGTATACAGGCAGCCTGGACAGTAGTCAGGAGCTGTTCAACTACAGGCTGAGCAAGTGCAGAATGGTGGTAGAATGTGCATTTGGACGGTTAAAGGCGTGCTGGCGCAGTTTACTGACTCGCTTAGACCCCAGCGAAACCAATATTCCCACTGTTATTACTGCTTGCTGTGTGCTCCACAATATCTGTGAGAGTAAGGGGGAGACGTTTATGGCGGGGTGGGAGGCAAATCGCCTGGCTGCTGGTTACGCGCAGCCAGACACCAGGGCTGTTAGAAGAGCACAGGAGGGTGCGGTACGCATCAGAGAAGCTTTGAAAACCAGTTTCATGACTGGCCAAGCTACGGTGTGAAAGTTCTGTTTGTTTCTCCTTGATGAAACCCCCCGCCCCTTGGTTCACTCTACTTCCCTGTAAGCTAACCACCCTCCTCCCTTCGATCACCTCTTGCACAGGCAATAGTCATTCTTGCTTCACATTCATGCATTCTTTATTCATTCATCACACAAATAGGGGGATGACTACCAAGGTAGCCCAGGAGGGGTGGTGGAGGAGGGAAGGAAAATGCCACACAGCACTTTAAAAGTTTACAACTTTAAAATTTATTGAATGCCAGCCTTCTTTTTTTTGGGCAATCCTCTGTGGCGGAGTGGCTGGTTGGCCGGTGGCCCCCCCACCGCATTCTTGGGTGTCTGAGTGAGGAGGCTATGGAACTTGGGGAGGAGGGCGGTTGGTTACACAGGGGCTGTAGTGGCAGTCTGTGCTCCAGCTGCCTTTGCTGCAGCTCAACCATACACTGGAGCATACTGG